GATAAAGTTAATGCACAATAGAAGAAAATAAAGTTTACTTAGTCTACATATAGAAAAGTTTCAATAATAGTTTAGAACTAATTAAAACATATAGAATGTTAGCATATATTGTAGGGTAGCATGTGAAGCCACCAGGACCGGATGCAAATGAACGACCTAAAAGTTGACATCTATATTTGAGGGTATTCCTCTTTTTTATTTTGTACAATTTTTGCAGCAAGGACCAGGTCGAATTTCGAATTAACTAAATGTTACTTAGGTTAGCGTTCACTGTCTTCGAGCTGTCGATGGTAATGATACTAGAACGGTGAGAGGTCTTCGCAAGATCAGTGCTAGCTAAGACGCGAGGTCTTGTTTTAACGCATTTTATACGATGTAGAATCTGTTTCTAATGGTACAATTAGAGACGCAATCCTTTGCGTTATTGCGCCGGCGATATGTGCATGTTATTAATTTATTTATATTATTTTTAACGAAGTATTTTTCGTAAGTAACTTACGATGTTTCATATCGTTGTGAGTGAAGCTCCATATCGAAGTGGAGTTAAGATAACAAGTGAGTCCTATCCGTATCGACTTTGTTGTAGGGAAATTGGGCAGACGACGTCCATGATGCCGAATATTTAGGTTACCAAATAAGAAGTTAAGACCTCTATGCTTAAACTAACTATGGATTAAGTAAGATTAATGAATGATGTTCATATTGGAATTTACTGCTCTTTCATTAAAGCACTTTTCTAGTTCGTGCTTTGAACTAGAAATTGAATAAAATTTTTAAATGCACTTGAATCGAGTATCACTACCATTTTTTGTCATTTTTACACGAGTTGAGTGGTTCCTGGCTTCTAAAAAGCCACAAAGTATGCTAACAGTAGACGAATTATCGTGGGACTACACCCGAGCTTATTGAAGCATAGTACCTCGTGAAGTCCATCAAAAAAAATGCCCTGTACTTTTCACTAGCGAACTTAATGTTTCAGGAAGAATAACACTTCTGTCTACCTTATTATTTCTAAACTAAGTGCTTCATCAATTCGTCATTCCATGCCGTTTTTACCAGCTGTCATTCTAGCTTCTAATAAGAGAGAGGCATGATGTCTTCAGCGAGCTACATACAACGAGCCGGACCTTTGATGAGTTTTGTGCACCTTCTTCAGTTGTGAGACAGCATTCTATCCATTGAATTTGCTCAGTCAGAGCATCAACATATCGCATCATGACAAAAACAAAGAGTACATACATGCTATAACGACATTAGAGATGTATTTTGACGTTGCTAGAGACGCAAAACGAGACCTTTTTTGTCTTATTCTCATTTGACTCTGGTGCTGGCTGTGCAATATTCATCCAACAGAGACTGACGCCAAGCTGACCCACGTTGTTCCGTAGATTCGTATAGTCAGAGCGGTGCTACTTGACCTTTCAATACGTAAAGAAGGATCCATAAGGGTAATTTTTTTGTATTGCTATATTGACTTACTTGTCACCCCTCTTCAATTCATTCGTTGCAAAAAAAACCTTTTCCCTTAAGTATCGCCTGTCACGTATTAGCGCCACGCGAATTCGGACTGCTCTAGAGAGAACTTGTTGAATAATATGAAAGTATATATAACTATATTCCGAAGTACAAAATAACTAATAATGGTCATCTGATCGACAGAAAAGAATTATCTCATCGAAAAATTTACTTTGCCAACACGAATATGCACTCTAAAGCGTAATTAGATATGAATGGATTTGATATCTGGGTATCTTTTTTAATCTTTCATGTACAAGAAGCTACTAAATACAAGAAGGTACTAAAACTAATATGGAAATGCGAGCTATGTTCTTTTGTGTACAACACATTCGGATGTACTGCCATACTCCACTTCATAAACCGCCTCGACAATCATTCAATCTTGGTAAATCTCCACTCAACAACGTAACATCAAACATTACTCGTCAATATTGAAGTGAGGTCGCATACTAACTTGATCAGTCGGTTACAGCCGATGGCCTAATTTCGAAAATAATCCATCAAAGCTGTATTTCGAAACATTCAGATCTAGATGAAATTAGTTCCTGATCTAGAGATTGGGTTGAATCTAGAGATATTGCTACTACCGAGCATATTATCACATAGTTTTGGCTACGAATTACAGGGCAACTAAAGCAACCTTTAAAAATCATCCATTTCAGCTTTGATTCAGCAATATGTAGCTGTCTTATAACGGTTACTGCACGGGATTAAGTTGGACTAAAATGATATCAATATAGCGTCTAGACAATCAGGCTAGGTAGGTTACTGATGCTCGATTCTAATATGGCTGTGCCCACAAAACGAGCATAGCGTATCGATTAGGAGAATCGGTGTTATATTATATTATATGCTTCGCCTTTAATCGCCGCTTAATAGCTAAACAGAAAAGATTATGTTGCTTTAAAAAGATTATGTGCCTATGACGTCATCCGCGTTACATTTCTTTTTTTTGCCGTAAACGTTTCAAACTAGATTATACTACAAAATTCATCCGACATTTCTGTCTAACTGCATTTACGAAAATATCAAAGCTCAAGAAGAAGCATGCTCTTTTTAGGCCTGCTGCATGAACTGCCACCCGTTTCGAGAAAATTGTCTAATGTCTGTTATCTCTGTTAAATATTCCTTAATTATTTTTCTAGCTGCTTGCAGACCTCATCATGATTTAGATAAAACACTAATGATAAGGGAACACTTCCTCGTCAATAGGAAATTGATGCAGCCTCTTGAATTCATCGTCTTGGAAAAAAATTACGGCCTGAAACACAGCGATACAACCGATCATACCGTGAAGGAACGATCTGTCTAGGAAACTAAAAATGACTTATTTCTAGCTGAAAAAACGTACTATAACAAAAGATTACTCTTGAACGACAAATATATCGTCTTTGAAAAGAACACGTCAACGTCAGCCACCTTGCAGATCAGGCTTTAACCTTTTCGATGTTAATTTAGGTACCTTATTTGTTGCACATAAACATAAAAAGTTTGAGGGTCCAACTCTGCCAATGTGAACGTGCATTGAAGAAGCCAGACTATCATTTAGACGTTTATATGAGTCTGACAGCGTTTCATGAGATGATGAGGGCGGTTCGGTCATCACGCGATCATTGAGTAAATATGATAAGCAATATAAGTAAAATGCGGAACCTTATATAGCATCATAGCAAGACAAAGAACAAGCTCTTCCTGTTACTGATGTTACCTTGTCAGTTGACGAATACGCACCTACGGCTCTGGAATCGAAAAGCGTACGGCTGTAAGAGCTGCTCTAGCGGTTGGCTATTTGGGAATTGCTCCCGAAGAAGAGTCTCGTACGGTAAGAAGAAGCTCAAGGGACGAATTGAGAAGTTTGAAGAAACAGAAAACGCCATCGGGTCCAGGTCGTGAAGCGCACCCGCCGATAGTTGCGGGGATTGGCTTGCGCTTACTTCTATTTTAGCGTCGTTGTAAAAGAGACGTGAAAAGGTTTAAAAAGAAATGCTGTACAAATAGGCCGCGTCTTCCTGTTGCTACAGAAAGAACAGAAAATGTTTGCGCGGTTCGTTTACGCTAGGCAAACACTGCTGCATGGGCCGGAGGTCAAGCTCTAGTCCAGCGTAACATGTTTCCAGCGTCCGATGAACCAAGAGATCGGCTACTCTTACTAACCTCATCACACTGGTTAGAGCCGGTTCATGCGCTACCTAGTTCAAGCGGTCTCATGCCTGAGAAGCCTGACTTCTATTTCCTTAAAGGTACCGGGTAACGAAAACAGCATTACATTCGTTGTCGTCGTTCGGAGAGGAATGATAAATGCGCAGAGCTTGCTAGTAGGAGTCTGGATTCATGAAACATGGAAAGGCAAATCGAAATGTCAGTTTGCAATAATTTAGTTTTTTGCAAGCGGGAATGACGTAAATAGGCCGGATAAGCGTCGCCGATACGTAACGGTGCAAATGTAAGTATCACGCTGGAGCTCGTCATTAACTATTTTTGCAAAAAAAGACAGGCCTAATCGGCCGCAAGCTGCATCAGAAGTCATTGCTCCGCATTCACTCCTGGCTCCTCTAAGCCTAAAAGGCGACAATATTGTTAATTCATATAGCCATTCAGCTGACTGATTCGTCGTATATAGTAGTAATAGTATTTTTTTTTTCTCAAAAAACAAATGCTGTTTCAAATATTCTATTATTGGATGTGAGATCAGTGTGTTTCGAAACATTGAATAAAATAATAAAAGTCAATAAAAAAGACCACATCTTAACTATTTATCACTGCTGAGCACATGCTAAATATATATGCTTGAAAGATTTTAAGAGAATCTTTGAAAAATTATCAAAGCATATGAAAAGGCCTGTGATAGTTTATGAAATCTCGAAGGAACCTGAAGCGCCCTATGTTTAACCTCAGCACAAATTATGTAGCTAATTATCCGAAATAATTATTTAAATGGGTAAATATTTTAATGTACATTACTCTTACAACGGTGAATCTTCTGCTACGAAGATATCCCGAGATAAATACGATCGCTACTTAGTCAGAAGTTTATTATCTATTTACACAAGGTAATACAAATATTAAAATATAATCTTTACTGTAATGATGAGATTTTTTAAAAATTAGTATCTACGAACACTACGAATGGGGTTTAAATTCAGGTACAGCTTTTAATGAACCTATTAGTGTTAAATATTTGTCGATAAGATGAGTAACTTAAAAATAAGATATCTACCTGGATGTAGTGTCCACGCTTTACCACATTTGAAGATAATAGTTTCTCTATTGAACGGTGAATTAAAATATCAATTAAAAACGTTTTTATCGAGAGAAAAAAAAGAATGTCATTCATTAACACTAATCTTTGAACTTATTGTTATATAATTATAACTTATAATTGGCAGATCAATCAATAATTAAATATAGATCTTGAAAATGATTGTTTGTTTGTAGTTGAAACACACTCAGTTTATTGAATAAACATACAAATGAAAAATATATACAATATGTTTGGTCATATTGATGTAAGGAATCGCTCCTGGCATCACATACTTTTGTTTTGCCTTCGTACACGCTTCCACAGAAACAGCAGAAGTCTACGTCACTTCATGATCTTGTTGTATTTACAATTATAACGTGGATTCGTACGTCAGAATATGTTATAAACAGATTATGTACAGAATCAGTTACTGCCGGCGCTCGCTTTTAGCTTACCTGGCTGTCAGTTTAGGGTTTACATAACCTTACAGTCGGGTTTTATATCTTCATTATCATTTTCCTGCAAGAATAGATAGTGCAATTTTCAGGTATAGTCAACCTTAAGAGATCCGGCTAAAATCTTACGCGGCGTTTGATGTAGCACACACAAACATCTACAAAACGCAGAAAGCGGCTTACTCTGATATATGCAGGCTAATGCCATTTATAGTAGCAACTACTATATAGAGCATGGGATTTGAGAATGCAATTTTATCGATCTTATTGAATCACAAAAGACATAAGACCTGAACCCACTGCAAAGACCGCACAATAAATAGATCATCATTATCGTCATTTATATTAAACACCTATGCAACTATGGATTGCACACGTTGTGCACTGAAAGGTTGCCCGTTCGTGAGTTGGCTACTACATACGTTTGAGGGCCCAGCTGCGGACGTCCGTCTTCGAGGAGCTTTTTTTGGAGTTAACGCCCGTCGAACAAGCATCTGTCGAGCTCGTAGTGACGCAGACGGTGATTCACTAACCTTCGATTTCGAATAAGTCTCGTTCAACCGAGAGGGTGCGTCTATCGATATTCTGGGTCGTTTAGCCCCAAGTGGTGTATTGGCCAACGTCTCAGTGTCAAGATCTAAACTGTCGATGAGCTGCCGATAAGTTTCCAGCTCTTGTCGAATATCGTCGTAGCTTTGTTTCTGGACGATCAAGCGTTTATTTAGCCTATCACGTCGGCGTCGCTCGGCTGCGCATTCTTTATTCTTTATTGCCTTGACATCTTCGATTTCAGCCCGAAGCCTTTTTATTAGCTCCTGGCGCTCAGCAAGGATAGTCTCAACATCCTGTGCCCGTTTGAGTGCCTGCTGGTGACGGGTCTCGAGCCGAGCATGCTCTTCCGCACTGACATAGGTAAGAAGGGTGTCCTGCATCTTCTTGTTGTGCTCTTTTTTGAGACGTTCCATATCTGCTTGATGCTTGCTGCGATACTCCTCAAGCTTCTCAAAACCAAGCTTTTCAAGTCGGTTTCGTTCAGTAGCAACCTTTTTGTCAACGTCCTCAGCAGAAAACTGTAGTTTTTTGTCCACCTCAACAATCTTCGACTCTAGCATCGTTCTTTCGAAATTGGTAATTTTCACGCGCTCATGAAGGGTGGCAACGTCGACCTTCAGCCGAGTGACTTGGCTGCAAAGGTCAACCCGGTCTTTTTCATCTTTCTTACGCTGTTCACGAAGTTTATTATTTTCCTCACGGAGGGCTCTGATAGTGTTTCTTTCAGAAACGAGCGTTCTTTCAAGACTGGTTTCTCGTTGACGTTTTTGTTCAAGATCGGTTCGAAGAGCCCTGTTTTCAAGTTTGGACTCCTCTATGGTCTTCTGTAGCTGTGTAATAGTTTCATCAGCCTGTACGGCTTGTTTAACATGCCATTCAATTTCATTCCGTAACATGTTCACCTTAGAAATTGGATATTTTTAACAATAAAAACAAAACCAGTGTGCAATGTTAGCATAACTAACTACAAATAACGTAATAAACTGAAGTAATATAACGGTTTTCGATGATCTAGGTACTTATCTTTGTATAGAATTCACTACGCGAATAGTGTCTCACCTGCAATTGATGTCGTGTCTTTCATAATGCGGGATTTTTCCAATGTCCACATTGGTTGCCGTTGTTGCTATTGCATAAGAGCTGTCCAAATTAGTGACATAGTAGATTCACCGAATAGTAGTTAAAATAAAATAAACTCAAGAGGCAAAACGATACTAAAAATTCTGAGAAGCCTTTTTGAAAGCGGTTTCGAGTGTCCAAGGTGTTACCAACCTGGCTTTCGCGATACCGTAGTGATTAACCTGTTCGCTTGCTAAGGTTAGAAATGATGGCGCTTTAGGTTCGGGACCGAACGTAGACACGCATCGTTTCGTGATAAGAGCCAACCGTGTAAGGCAATGCCAAACACCCTAAGTGCTGAACGTAAAGTAAAAAAAAAAACAAGACGTTACCTACCTGCTGGGTTGTCTCAGTTCGAAGTTGTGACATTTGCTCTTCAATATCTTTCCGAACCTTTTCCGACTCTTCCAGTTTTTTATCAATCGTTTTGACCTTGTGTACGTAAGCCACAAACCTGAAGGTCCGGACGAATTCATACATATTTTATCCGCAAAATAACCACGTACGCGGTCTACGCTCGCGACATCACCATGAGAATGGTTGCCATATTGAATAAAATTGAGGGCATCATGAAACCGTAAGACGAATACTAGAAATTGACTAAAAAGATACGCAAGCCCTGAAACAGCTTCTTTTTTAGCAGCTTCATTCAGGTATATGCGAACACCGGTCTAGTAAGTAACGCTTTCCGCTTTGCCTTTGACGAACCTTTATTACCACAAGTCCAATTGACTATTACCTCGAAGCGTATCAAAGGAACAACATCTTATAGGATTTCTATATCAGCACTTCGTAGCTTAATTTTAAACAGCCGATAATTCATTCAGCTTTTTTTTTAGAAATGAAGTATTACCAATTCATAGAACGATGAAATTCGTTAAAGGCGCCATAAAGAAAAATCGTTAGCTTCCTTCGTACCTGTTGTTCAACGAAGTAAATTGGTTTTTAAACTCGGCACGGTCCTTCACAATCTCGGAATTTTCAGTGCTTTCATCCATAGCAACACTGTCAGCGACGAATCCGAAATCCGTATTTTTTGGTACAATGGAGACGCCAGGCTGGTTACCAAGATTGACCGATACTTGAGTATCATTGTTATCAGACTGGCTGGCACCAGCCGCTTCCGGTGGCTTTGGCGTACTCGTCATTAGAACTTCAACCTCAGCGTTGACCTCCATCTTGACTGCTGGCTTCTGGCTGTCCATGCTATCAAGGTGATATACACAAGTGCACTGTGAAAATGCTCTTAGTGGCACTCACCGTTGCACTGTATGCATTAGATGACAATGGCTAGTTCAATGAGCACTACGGCACACAGATGGACGGAAGCATTGAGGTCTTGGAGTAGTTTTCAATTTTTGTTCTGCGTCCATCTTATACTTCGGCATGTTATTCCTGTGTTTTGGCAAATGCTTTCGATATATTCAACTGCCTTTTTCAGAAGACAGTTTGTAATGAGCCTAGATTTGTGGTTAATTAAATGATTACCTGAATGCTAGATAAATCGTAGGTTACCATTGTTCGAAATGATAAATAGAAAAATAATTTTTAACATCCGCTTTCGATACAATGTTATGAAGCCGACTATCCGTCACGCCGCACTAAGCCCAAATGCATCTAATGGCCTCACAGTATTTCGACATCACCAAAGCGGAATTGTTCGTAGATAAAAATTTTTCACAGGATTCGGAAGGAAATTCGACAGAATCCTATAACATCGTTGACGAGAGGAAAAACATAAAATAGAACACAAAGTAGGCTCATCTTTCTAACCTTTTTTCTACTCGTTTTCCGCGCAACTCTAGCCACACGATCGTCTTTTTTTGGTGACCGCCTCTTTCATATAATTACGCGTTACCGTGCACGCGTTGCCTACAAGATGATGCGGTAAAAGCTAAATGTGACAATAAAAACGTCCAACGCACTGCACGTGCCCGAAACCGACGTCATTAAGGACCGTCCAACTGCTAACGTGACAAGCTGAGCAGGTTCAAAACAAACCCGTAATTATCGCTCATTGCAAAATGTATATATATCAATAAATAGCTTAGTATCTTATTTGCTTTATTATTTAGTTTGTTCTTGGAGAAGAGCCTCACACTTACTTAGTGGCAGCTATACTATGACTGGAATATAGGGTACGAATTAGACTAGGGGAGAAATGTTCAAAAAGTTTATACAAGCGAAGTAAGCAATTGTTAACGTAGTAAATCAAAAATAGCAAGCAGATCTGTGGCTTTTTTTTTCCAACTTTAGTGCAACGGCCCACATCTGTATCGGAAAATCCGTTTAGTCCGGGAAAACTTACCTCAATGACTCGACACGATGGAAAGGTTTTCCCTAGGTCTCTTAGCTGACCGAGCACCTGTTAACGTGTATGTCATCAGCGATTAGGGACACTTCGTCCCCAAACCGGTCTCACGACATCAACAGCAGCGGGTAATGTAGTGAGTTCTAACTGATTGCCGCTAATAAGTGTACTCAGGAAAAATTAGAAAGCTGACCGATTGATACTTGCAAAAGACGCTCTCGGTTACCCCATATCGCATCCGGATTACGTCCGATGCTTCGTTCGGCTCAATTCTTAGTGTTTTACAACCACCCATAAAGGTCAGTTGACTGCTCTTCAGGATATTTACCGATCGAGGCGTAGCATTCTACTTCGGGGAAATCAGAGCAAAAGTGAGTCATGGAACAGTCACGGATTCGACAAGGCCAACGTAGCTTTCATCGAAAATAATATCTGAGCCAGCGGCACAGCGGCTGTAAAGCGAGGTTTAAGCGGGCAGTGGTCACGAAATGACGGTGCTCAACTTTCGGGAGGACGATACCCTTTTTTCACCAGTTGGATAGTTTTAGGATCAGTCAAAAAAACAGATTATGTCGGATTTTTTGTGTACAGTTTTTTAAGGAAGTTCCCAGCAAGCTTACATCATTGCACAGTATAAACATGTCCATGAGGAACGTCTGTGCCGGCGTATGCAAAAAAAAAAAAGCCAATTTCCATTAATACTTTGTTTTTAAGTAAAGCTAGTTCTATTTGGTTACTTTTTTCCATTACATAGTTTCTTTTAACGCTCCAGTTTGTGTGCCATGCTAAAAATTTTCCTTCGAACAGGACAGAACTGTTTAAGGTTCTAGTACAGGGCCAGTCTCACTGTTCTCTCTTACAAAAACGCGGATCTAAATCGGAAGATCCGATCAATGTGCATAACGTATTCCATTGCTGAAAGTGCTATTCTGTTTATAATTCATCGTCGAACGATATTTTATTAATATAAGTGCATCTGATCTCCCATATTTGCATGCACTTAAAGGGTGTTTTTTAATTAACTCCGATTCCTTATGTTACCGTTAACCTGCTAGACAGCGAAACGAACCCCTTGACTAGCGCCTCGACGGATAAATAACATAGTTACGATTCAAGAAAGCAATAAATAATAAACACAATAAAACATCAATAGGACACTGGTTTTACCAAACGATCTTATATTGCGCAGTGACTCTTCTTTTTGTTTTTTTAAATCAAATTCAGCTTAAGCTACATAGGGAATATATACCCTGGTATCTGCCAAACCCTTTTCAATCAGTCATCTGGGCACGAGCACCACATGTCCAAACATATTCCACTGTCCGGTTTAGGATTAGATTTACTTTACATAGCCGCACCTTACCTTAAATGCGAGTACATTTCTATTTTGTTTGTTTAAATGCTTCTATTTGTACCAGTTCGAATCTTCATTGGTTAATTCTTCAGGCCGCGGCCGTATTGACCCTTTTGCATTTCAAAAAATATTCATACGAATGCATTATCCCTTCTCCCATAGCTAGTTTTTTCAAATGATTCTATAAGGGGACCTCCGCAACATCAAGCAGATCTTAAACAAAATCGCTGAACGGCTATGCGTATTATGAGATGTATTTTAGCACTTGTAAGTGCCTTGAATTAGGTGCGGTAGATTTCCCCCTCATGGGCCATCAAACTGCGTTGAATTACCCAGTTTTGACCTGAGAAAACAGGTACAATCTGCTAGCCTCAAAGATGTGTGTACCCAGGACGCCGGAAGGCGCTACAAAAGCCGAATGTATTCTACATCTCAAGAACGTGCCTAGTGCGTAGTCATTTTTCGCTGGCTTCAGAATCACTTCTCGAGTACGATCTAGAAATAGTTTATCGAAAAGTAGACTCCAAACTATTTATCCTCTTATTGAAGAACCTCAGCTTCTTCTCGAAGGCTTTCTTTCTTTTCAGTTTCTATGAGGGTAAGCCAGTGACTTCACTACACGCGATACTATATTCCAACACTAGATCGTTATCATACGTTTCACAATAGCAATTTTTAGAAATGTGATAATTTTTTAATTTACTTTGTTTTTTTTTACTATAGAGACGGAAATATAAGTAAGTGTGGGAAATATAAGTGTGTCCATTTAACTGCAACGTTATATTAATTTAGTTAAATTATCGTCAAATCGTTCCGACTTGTGGATTTTGTGACCGAATAAATTTCCAGATATAGAATATGCACAGGTTTAGTCATTGTAATAAGAAGCGGCACCTATTAGAATGAAGCTTAATGTTATGCATTAGGTGTCGGTTATGTACATAAGTATGAAACATGCTTAACGGTAAAAATATGAACGATCTGTCAGGAAAGTCATATCCCTTCAGAGATTTTAAATTTCGATCTTATGGTAGAAGTTACAATGCTCAATAAACAATTTCACGTGAAGACCGACTTCGAAAATCTAGTTCAAATCCTACCCTTGCTTTTGATCAAGTTGGCTGATAAACTTACCAATGGCGAGCTAACGTTAAATTACTCGGGAGTTATCCCATTTCCATCGATCTGAGGGCCAGTAAACCTTACCTGCTTATTTAAATATGGCCACACCAGGCAAAATGATACCGTTGAAAGGTCAGCAGAAAACAATGATCCTACGACCAAATAGTAGAAACATTTAAATTCGTGCTACAGCTGCCATAGTCGTAATTTTACAAATGAAAACAAACGTTTCCTTCCTTCATCAAACCCCATCAAGTAGAAATAATAATAACAGTAATGGCGATATGTATGGCTCCTTTTTGCGCTGTCCCTGTTTGATGTCTTCCATCAGTTTGAACAAAAACTACGAAATATGATTGGCGCAACTTACGCAACATAAAAAAAATACAGGAGTTCATAGGCACCGTCTCGTTAGGAAACGTTACAAATCAATTGATTAGCCCAAATCATAGCATTCCATGTTACAGTCGACACTTTGTTTATAAACGACGAGTTCGGTTATATCATTCGGGAGCGAAAAGTAGAACGTATAGGTTCACTAAGACGAGAGCACTGAGTGATGGGCCAAATAGTAATGCTTGAATCATGCTAGTGTACCCTATGATAACTACGATAATTTCTTTTCAACGTTCATTGTTGTCATTCAATAGCGAAAAAAGTATAATTCAACATTGTACAAATACAGTCGAACTGTTCGCATGCTCTCTTGCGTCTCACGTCCATCAAAAACGAAACTGATCTTTCTAGCTTAACATTAGGTGAATTTATACCTACATGCGCTATTCGGGCCCAGAGACAATCGTTCATTGCCGGCATCCTACGCTTCGTACTTAACCAGCGATGCGCGTTGGTCTTCTAGCTCACTTCCTATCACTCAAAGGGAAGAACTTCGTCTGTTACCAATTTAATACATTCGATTTCGAGCTGGATGACGATGTCTGAGTGGAGCTCGTGGCGGCGCAGCTGTGGCAATATAGGACAAGAACGGCGATTCCCATAGGAGTAGTAGCGCGTGTCCACGACAGCAGTCGATCAGGAGGCAACCCTTCTGTCGATCAGCACTACGACTGAACGACAGCAAGAACGAACGCTCCGAGCAAATGGAACGCTGCTAACTCGTAGACGTTTATATGCTCGCCCGATCATTTAATTCAATACAAGCTCTGTTAAAGTACTTTCCATTACTGAACTATAATACATACGTAAAAAAAGCTTAGGGACGTCATTGCAGACAGCAAGCAGAGTAGACTTCAGTGACTCCAGCTTGGTCCTTCGGCTCGAAGGAGGTTTAGCGAGCTGGGCGAAGCAGGCCTGTTACCTACTACTGTCGGGGCAATTCTGCACGCTACGAAGTTGATCGCTCAAACACGAATTACTTTTCCAACGACTATGTGCTGTAGTTAGAGTCCTGTAGAGTGATTGCGGTGACCCTCTGTGGAAAGACTGCAGCTAACATAAGAAGAGACGTCGTCGCTCGAGAAGATTTGCCAAATACCACTTGAAAACGACTTACACTTGGTCGTAGTACTTAGGAAGCGTTTTAGGCCTGGAAGCCTCTCAAACGACTAAACGCCGAAGGCTGGAAGCATCGTGGCGTCAAGACCGGCGTCAAGTTTCGCGTTCGAACTTGCGCCACTACTCATGTCATCCACTTAATTGTCTATCAACCAAGTCGCTAGGTCTGAAAGGAGACTGCTATCACGGCGTTGTTTCTCGGACATTCGTAACCAGTTACATTGAGCAAATGCTAGAAAAACGAAAGACAGATAGGCCCACTGCTTGAGAGGGGTCAGTGGACGACCCGTTCGGCCAATTGAACACGAGGCCGATGCGCCATATTGCCTCTTCGAGACATTCATACTTTGGAAGATTCGTCACGATTGTATAGAGTCGCGCTACTGTAAGGTTGCAGTAATTGGAGAGAAGAGATAGACAAAGGTTACGAATATTGCTACACCGACGACTGGGTCAGTGCCGATCCAGTCACTACAACGGAACACGTGCGCGGCCAACTGGAAAGGAAAAGCATTTGTTAAAGTCCTTGAAGGGGAACGTTCTATAGCGTAGAACATACGTGAAGACTGTTTTAGCTATGCGTCATGTAGAATATGTATTACTCGAAACGACCGAGCGGAACGCACTTGTTAGTGGGCGTTTGAGTTAAATTTCTTCTATACCTTTCTAACCATATAGACCATTCGTCGGCTTACGCAACGCTATTGGAGTCTACCCGATGCCTGGAAGACCACCTAATAGGTTCTGTCGTAGACGTACATGTTTCAAGTGTAAATATATGTATGTCTTGAAAAACATTTTCTTGCTATTATTTTTTTCACTTCAAGCATGATGTTTTTCTATATAAATTTCTAGCAAAACAAAAAACCTAAGACAAACATTTGCTGTCGTTAACATTGAAATTTGTCTAATTTCTCATAGAACTGCGTAACTTCCCGAGCATACTATAGACCTAAATTGAAAGGTTTAAATATATATATATATAATAGAAAAACACGAACAAAATGGGGAAACGGTAAGAATATTTGATAAATATATTTTATTATCCATCATCATATTTACTGACGTATATACATGCAAATATATATATATATATATATATATATATATATATTTCGTTTAAAATATTTATTACTAGCAGTGGTGAATATTTTGTTTTTGGCGCCGTTCTTCAATACTTCCCTGTTAACATTCATTAATACGGATTTAGAGTTTTATCCGCTGTTAGGCTGGCAAACAGATAATTTTATGTATTGTGTACCTTTGTTGCTATCATGTTTTTCTGCATTTTATTTAGAATGAAATATAAAAAATGAAAAAATATAATATTTACTATTTTGCCTATTCATTACGATAGCTCATGGTTATTTCCATCATGATTGACATCATACTCACTACATACCTTTATTCGTCATATAAAAATATATCTAGTTCATTGCATTTCTTCTTATAACACTTTCCTTCGACTTTTTTTCCACTTATATTTGCTGTCTATTGCGACCGCTTTGTCATCACCCTCTCGTTAAGTTAACGCTCACTTTTTTTTTTACTGAGCTTCTATGCACTTGTTATTCCCTTTCTATCATTAAATTATTCTTAACTAAACGTTGGGGCTAAACATAAAATTACGAGAATATCGCGCCAGCCCTTTGCCTTTGGTCATCGTTCCCAATAGGTCTATTTATGCATATATTATATACAACGAGTGTTCAAATTTTGCCCGAACAGCTAGCTTCCTACCATCATTGATTGCCTTCCTAGACCCCGCAGCACCTTCCCTTTGGGCCACATAAGCCTAATATCGTTGCGGATTGGTAAAAATAGCCTGATTGTAAATACTCTGATGTCTCCCTGAACAGGACCTGCCAAGGCAGACCGTAGCCTTTCATTCCAGTAGACGCAGCGACAGGAACGTTTCGCTTATAGTGATATATATATATATATCGACATTCGAATTGGATAACTTAATACCTAACCCTGTAGAACACAATTAAATCGTCTGTCGGTATCGACAACGCTTTGCCTTTGCTCGTCAGGATCGCCTTGGCTCGAGCATCGAATCCAGATGAACTTGTGATGTATGTAATAGAAATGACAGAGTGATACTAGAACTAGGACTTAATTATAAGTGTAATAAGTAAGGGGTGTATCATTTTGAAATAGCTGGTTTTTCGGTGAGACGGCTGTGATATGCAAGTCGATAGTCTAGAACATTCGCATCTTCTCTCTTATCTTCTTACAGCTTGTTCATGTCCATCCTGATAAAACAGTGATTTTATACGGGTGGTACTTTATTATTCTATGGTGAAATAGAAAATTACGTACTGAAATAGTCGTCATTGCAAACCTAATCCTCCTTGGGGTCCTGTGGCACACTGTTGAGAATCTTCTGAACTACTATTGTAAGGCTTTCGATGATTCGCTTGTAACTATCGGGTTTGTCTTTCCAATAGATTGTCAAAAAGTAGACGGGAATGCCAGACAAGGTGATTCCCAATCCGATGAGCGTTTCATGCGGCTGAGAGAAAAATGGCAACACGACCAAAAAGAACGAGACGACAAAGAAGAAGATCGGCAGGACAATCGGTATCCTGATTGGCCTCTCAAGGTTGGGCTGTTTAATTCGGAGCCATAGAAGGCCGCCGACGGAAAGCATTACAAACAACGACTCGCTGAATGCCGTGTAGTTGATGAGTGTAAACACGTCGGTGTTCGATAGATAGAGAAGCGATAAAAGGCATAAAAAAACTAGTGAAGGTGCCGGGGTGTAATAATCGACATTGATCATCGACAGCATGTTCGGCAAGTGACCTTGGCGGGCACCAACGAAAAATAGACGAGAAGACGCGAAGATACCGCCATTGAGTCCTCCGAACGTTGATAACGCCACAAAGATCGGCATCACCCAGTGGAACTGGCCGAACACACGACTGGCAAACGAAACTGCCACAGCATTTGCAGACTGAACCTCATCAGCGGTCAGGACGACAAAGTAGCTTACGTTAGCTAAAAGATAAATAACAGTTACCGTTGGGAGTGATATGTAGATGGCATATGGCAGATTGCGAAAAGGGTTTTTGAGCTCTTCTGTGACGAAATTCAAATAATTCCAGCCGGCGTAAGAGAATAGGCCACTATAGAACGATAAACAGATGAGACCTGGATCAGTAGTCGTGTTCTCCCAGAGATTTTCCAGATTGACTGTGTAGCCGCTCATTAACTGTATCATGCCGGCTGCAATGACAAGCAACAGGGCAATCACCTTTGTGAACATGAGCGAATCCTGCAGAAAGGTTGCCCATTTTACATTGTAACAATTGATAAACGTCAGTAGACAGATAATCAAGGCGGCAATCAGTCGTACGGCATGTGCAGGCGGGTTACATTCGGGGAAAAAGGGTTCAAGTATATAGTTAGTGAATGTAATACCCGCGATCGCATTTGACGTTGGTTGAATGATAAGCAAGCAAACCCAAAGGAACAGGAACGCCGGTAAGGGACCAAATGATTCGAAGATATAAGCATAATCGCCACCTGATCTTGGAATTGCTGTGCCAAGTTCGGCATAACACATCGCTCCGATCATTGAAATCAGACCACACGATGTCCACACGACCAGTGCGAGTCCTGTTGAACCGGCATAACGCAATACGCCAGTTGGTGACACAAAGATTCCCGACCCCACGATCACACCTATGATAACACTGACACCGTTGAGCAATCCTAATTGTTTCTTTAGCTCGATGGCGCCCGCAGACTGTTCCGAGCTGGCATCCGAGGATCCTTTAATGATGGCCCCACGTGTCGAATCCGTTGGGGTTGTCACCGATGAAGACGGGCTCCGAGTCCCTGCTCGCGTTCCCGGTGACATCAACGCTTCGTTCACTTCTTTTTCTAAGGCCATTGGGTACATTGAATGGTCTATCGGGTTATTGACAGCCTTCCCTTTTAAGGTGGCCTGAGTCGTTCCGATCCACAACAAAGGCAAAAAGTTCACGCAGTCACAACTAGCAAAAGGTTTCCAGCTAGGAAGCGCAGAGTGTGAGAGGCCCACGGAGAATATGCTGGCCTTTCTAGAGACTTGACATCAAAAATCGATATACAGAAGCAGAATCAATGGCCAATAAAAGGCTTCCATCTCTAATCACTATTTTAAAGAAAGCGTTTACCGTATTTTCTGGTGATGTTGACTACTGTTGTTGCTGTTCTGTGTGTGCGTATCGGCACAAACAGATGTGCTGTTATTATTATCGCCGTTGTTATTGTTGATGCCGGTGTACAACCAGCGAATGAAGCCAATCTGTTGCTCGTCCACGCCGCCCGTGTGCGCCACCACTGCACAGAGAACGTGTTCACCGAACGAGTTTTCCATGCGCTTTAGCCGTCTGGCGTTGTTGCCTTCCTCTCCATAACGTGTCCACGGCCACACTGTGATTGTAAGCTATTTGTATTGTAGAAATTTGGCGTCAAAATGAAGTTACGACTGCAGCTACCGCTATAATACACGGGTAACTTACTAGCGAGCGGAACGAAACTTTGCCGGCCTTAGAGGCCAGAGTCTGCTGTAGCCTTCTGATGTATTGGGTCGGCCAAGAAAACACATTTGCCTATCTCAGACCTATTTGTTGTTGCGCAGCTGCATCAGAGCACAGCCAGCTATTGTACACCACACAAAACACGACAAATAAACGGCGACGATGACAATATTATCCACCGGCAGCTGCAACAAAAGTCACTCGTCGAACGCGATCCCGCCACCTAGACGTTTGCTGTCGATCGCTGGTCACCAGTTTTCTTTTCCTTTCGTCGCCCACTGTATATTTTCCGGCCACCGGTTATCGCCGGCTTCCTGTGAGATTGGCGGGTCGCGGCTATGCTGATGTGCAATTGTGTATCACTATTCGTTAGCAAATAGGGTGAGCGACCAGTAAGCGATGATAATAAACCAAACGACACGTCTAGTTATCAACTATTCGAATACCTATAAGTCCACCTATCTGATTATCGATTTGTAATGTGTCTGAGTCACGGAGCGTAGCACTTCATGAGTTTAGACGGATATGGATGCTGTCGCTGCTGCTGTTCTAATAAGAATAGCCACCGCGCAGTGGCGTGCTCTGGTCGCGATACTCTGCTGATACATCTGGTAGGGTGTGCCGGTAATGTGCTCGATATAAGAGGGCAGTTTGGTTGAGCCCGATCACCTTGCTGCTGGCGGCTCAAAGTTGCGTCAGAAAAAACCCGCCTTGTCTGCCTGTGAACTACGTATGCTTACGCTCGCTGGTGCCGCTGTTCGCTACTGCTGGGCCGGTAACGACGACTGGCGCCAAATTGGGATAACCGCGTGGTGGGAGCTGTAGGGCGCAGACATATTGACGGAAGGCCTGGGAGAGGGGCGACTCGTTTCAACCCTCGCTGCTACCCTCACCTCATCAGATATGTGCACACACAGTCCGACCGACCCACCGACAGTTGCCCAGTTAGCCAAATACACATGTTGAGATTGTTTCATATAGAAGCTATAACAACTATTGAGCCAACTAACGACTGTCAGCTAGAGTGCGTTAAGACATGCTGAACTGACCTAGCTGATGTTAGCTATCAGTACTCCTGCTTTATTATACCATGGCTACGGTCTTTTTGCCGGTTCTCGTAATCTCTCTGCCACATACGCGTGGAGACGTAGTGCCGAAACAAGCCAAAACATTGCCAGACTTAAGGGAGAATGGGGAAAAGCACGCTGGCAATCGCACGCGCACTGACATGCGTTCCCAAGCAACCGGGGATACTGCCTGTTCTATCCCATACATACATATAATGCTTGGTAAGAACGAGTTCTATGCGAGGGCATACGAACGAAGGCCGGCAAAAGAATGCTGTTAAATAAGTAGTGCAAAACCGACAATACGCCAAGTATAGCAGGCTTTCGGTCAACCTTTAATTCAGGGTTTCGTCAAAGAGAGCTGTAATCTCATACGAAGATTGTGTCATACATTCGAGTAACCAGCTCTTCTCTTGATACAGAAATGTAGCATTCACATCTATACTTCATTGTCTATCTAAAAACATTCCCACATCTCAATGTGCCAGCAACGTATGCATCTGACTGAAGAAGACTAGTATATGCTGAATAAACCAGTTAATCAGGACGCTGGCAGTGTACGAGGCGTGCGGCATGCTCGCCACGCCTACTTCGTTCACATGCAACGCCCGCGCTTTAGTGACGGAAGGAAGGAGGCATAGCGGTAGCGAACAGACGGAGACTCCTACACCTCGTACAGCCGTGCTTACGTCGCTGACGATTCGTCATGTCCGAGGGGGAGAGAGACGAAAATAAAAAGGTATGGCTTTCAATGAGGCAAAACTTCTATTCCGTTGCTGGAGTGTGCAGACGACATAGGCTCTTCGAATTGAATCAAACACATAGAGACGTTATGAAGCCGGTAAATGCGTTACACGCCAACAGTAGGCCTTTCGCTCCTCCTAAATTTGACGACGACGACAACGAGTAGAGACATGAAGATGAACGTCAAACCGGAAAGGAGCAAAGCCAATGGCTATCTATCAATATGGACAGAAAGTAGATGCGTCTATGCGGAAATTCCTACATTAACTACATTGTAAGCGAAATGCGAAAGGGGGCGGAGGGGGGGACCGGTAAGGATTCTGATAAAAGTAATATCAGTGTAGAAGAGTTACGGGTGTCGTTCACTATTACGGTGAGATGAAGGTACGAACTCTGTAGAATTCTGACTGCAAAAGCAGAGATCACTCGTTTAAGTCGTGCAACTTACCGATATCGGTTAAATTGTGCTCAATGGGGCTCGCGACAAACACAGGAGTAGGCCTGGACCATTTCGAGAAGGCTTTTAGGAATGTATTACTTAAACAAGAGAATATTTGCAGCTTCCATAGCATTTCATAATAGTTTCTATATCGTTTATAGAGGGATAACTCAGCTGTGTTTCTAAAGACTACTGTAATATTTCTATTCGAAGTCTCTAAAAATATCCTCACGTCTATGGAAGCTAGAAAAAATGTTAAGAATAAATAAAAAGCTTGTCATAATTTAAACTGTATTATATGAATTCTTGGACCAGGCTATATATATATATATATATATATATATATATATATATACACGCGACATTTTCAACGATGACCTTCTGCCATTTTTCTGATGATATTACAGTCCTAGCTGGGGTAACTGTAGGAATTCTGTGGTTTCTAGGAGAAAAACTGGTTTTTGTGTCTTCCCACCCAAATTTAAATTAGTACCATCAGAGATCAAGACAGATGATCGTAGTCGATGACCAAAACAAGATCTGGGCTGCATGGATACATTGAAACTGCCCATCTTTGTTCTCCGAATAACTAAAGAAATAGATAGTTTGGAACATGGTGGAAGACGACGCCTTTTCTCTTGATGAGTTCCGGTTGATTTTTTCGACGTAATGTTATTAGTTATTGACAAGAGAGATGTGGACCAATGCTTTTGCCAAACGACAGTAACTCATAGTACGCGACTCGTTTCGTTATTATTATATGCCACCTGTTTTTCATAACAGTGATCAAGCGCTTTTACAAATGACAACACCGAGCTGACGCGGCCGTTAATTACTGTGACCTAGAAACTGGCTAAAAAACGATCAAGGCTCTCTCAACAACCCTTTTTTTTCTTTCAACAACAATTTTAATAATATATACGCGTTTGTATGTATATTTCATGCGGACGTAGCCCTTCGAGATAAATTTTAGAAACACATAAAAAAATATATATATATTTTTTAAATGTTTATGCATAAATCCCAATTAGCATAATACCGGGTTATCGTTTCTAGGTGTTTTGGCCGTTATAATGCTAGGCTTTAGCCAGCGATTCGGTATTGCGATAGCATCTAAGAAACCTTTACCTTCCTTCGTTTACGATTTTACTGGGTCGATACTTCTCTAAATATTGGTCCGACCCCAAAGGAAGGCGATGCTACATAAACCATCTGCTTTTAGTCTTCAAAAAATTGATGGGCCTAAGGTTATGTTTTTGAATCGCAGTAGAATTGCGTCGAGGGCCATGACTAAAGTGGCGCGCGCACATCTGTCAGTGGCAAACCGGCAGTATTTGAAAGAAAGTTGTAGTTGCGCTAGCGTTGTGGATCTCAAGTCACGGTCGTTCTTTGAACGAGGAACGCTTCCTTACCGATTTTTGGACACCTTAGTTCGTCGATTTCAGGCCAGTTTTAAGGTTATTCATTTGCCAACTTTCTTTCTTTTATTAATACGAGTATTATCTTAACTGGAATAGAAGAAGGCTTCTGTTATCCAGATGATTATCAATGTTATTACAACTTCCAATACATCGTTCTATTTTTGATTCACGAGCGCACATTTTATCTGCTTAAAATTCAATTGCAAGAACTTCTGGTTTACGTAAAGCTCCGTTTTGATTTTACTGCAACAAACATAACTATATGTAAGCCTAGCGCCAAACTAAGTAGGCTTCAAAGCTGCATAGGCCTTGCAACGGTCCTTCGTATCATCGAAGGGCGTGTCCCGAATAAAGAAGGAGATTTCGAAGATAAACGGGTCAATTCGGCAAATTACGGTATTAACATTATGGGTTGTGAAGCTGTTATAGATGAATCAGTACAGCCATCCATTTTGTACAAAGTTAATCAGAAAAAAGCTTTACTTCTTACCTATTAGTGCATTGAACACCTAGTAAAAACGTACCGAGTTACTACTGTAGCTTATCTAAAGTACTGGGAAAAATGTTGAAAAAATCAATCACAAAATGATTTCACAAACGTTTTTTTACGAATAGCTATCACTAGGCAACACATTTCTACAATTTCTTCCGAATCTGTTAAATTTTGAAGCACCGTAAGTTCTATCGTCTAGTACTTTGACCTTAACAACCTCCTAATTATATGCTATATCCTAATAATCACGAATTTATTTATTTCCTTTCACAATCAAATCATAGTATAGAAAAAACTTTCTAGATTTCACTAGTTCTTAAACTTAGGTTCTACAATATTGATATGTGTATTAGATGCCCTTGATGAAAGATGTAGCTACCAAAAGTTGCGAGCTTCTGGCGAGAACCTGGCTGTTATCGACGCTAAAGTCTTAAGGATAGCAGTACAGTTCCGTGCGACAAAGTATAAAATGATTTTTATTGATTTCAATTTCGTCATATGATTGCTCAACATGCGCACAGTTTGAATAACCGATACATACTAATATCCACAATCTACCGTTTTCTGATGTCAAAACGTGTTGTACAATGAGTGAAATAGTAAAAAGCACGCTTTTACGATTCGTCCACCAAAGCTCGAAGCTTATATCTTTTTGGACCACAAAAAAATTAAAAAAGCAGGTAACATCCGTGTTAGCATAGCTTAACATGTTTAATTTTCTTTGTTCGTCGCCTCGGCGGCTTTAAAAAATGGGCGCGAACTTCAAAACTCGCCTAGTTGAATAATAAGTGCCAATACTTTGACACGTAAGCCAACTGGGGTAACGTTCTTTTTACTATATTTGGTTTTAGACCATTCTATTTGCTATTGAGCTAAGCCCTTGTCTTATATTTTATTCAATTGTCCCCTTTTTGTCACTACTTGCTAACACTTACTAAGGACGAAGTCTGCGGCATATGCGCAGTTTTATGCAGGCAGACGAAACGTTAGAATATTAAGCAAATGGTCTTTGGCTGTGCTAAAGGTGTTATGCTCCAAACTCGTAATTATAATGCCGAACCTGTAGATCAATTGCAACGTATAGAAGTATTCCAATTCGGTATATTGTCTAGTTATTTTGGTTCTAATATTGTATTTCATTATATAATAACTATTATTCTAAAATGGTTTTCGCTACCATGCCGCACCTAGCTTCTCATTCACTTTAAAGAAACTTAAACCTGTTATTCTCTGTTAGATGGATTCGGCACAGGAACTTTGAAGTGTTAGAAATATTGGCATATAAATTGTACGTTGTGTGATCTCTAAGGTAACGATAGGCCGAAATCCTTAGTGCAAGTAGCCTTATCCCTTTACTGGACGTTCTATTCAAACGTTTGCTTAGATATGGTACGTCGAACTCTTTTTCTACGTTTTATAAATGTTTTGTCTTATAGATTTTTTTTTTCGAAGGTAAGCGGTCAATAAAACAACAGGATGGTTTACATATGAAGCAATCAAAATAGGATAATCTATGTAAAGTACGTATAACTAGAAGGTCTAAACAAAGAAAGATTGATGGATACGTTCATTAGTCACAGGACGTGCATCTGATCCTGTGAGCGTCTCTTACTTGCAAAGTTTTTTTAGTAATAATATT